TGGTCTCTGCTCATGGCAGCAACACTGGAGGGGAGGCAGTTTACTCGCTGCTCACCCCCTATATCTCCCTACAGTAAGGGCAAAGGAGGAAGAAGCAGCCAGAGCCCATCCTAGTCTCAAGTCACAAAGCCAGCCTTGCTCTTAGAGGTTGCTAAGCCCATGGAAGAGTCCTGCTTTGTAGGGGAGGCAGAGGGACTTGTCATAAATTAAAGGCCTGAGCAATACGCTTGCCTTGTAATATTTCCCATAGAGGTCAGACACCAGCATGATGATAGGGAAGCCCATGAAGGTCACCAGAGAAAGCTGCCACGACAGGCTGAACATGAAGACAATCACGCCCGTTGCCTTGACCCCATTGCGTAGGAAGATGTTAATGTTCTGGGACACTAGGTCACTCACTATCGTTGTGTCCGAGGTCAGCCGGGAGATGATGTCCCCTGCAAGGCAGGCAAAGGGAACAGAGTAGAGAACTCATCAGTGTTTCAGGAATCACAACTCCATACCTGCACAGTCAGAGAGTGACTGCATGTGCTGTGAGTCTAACTCGAGGAGCAAGAGGAATTGAGAAAGAAATGTGCATAGATCAAGGACTTGGGGGATGCAGCCATTCTTGAAGAGTGGTGGACAGTGTTTCCTGTAAGTTGTGCACTTGTGCGGCCACTCAGGAGATATTGCAACGTCGTCCAGTTGATTAGCAAAACACCCACAGCTCGATTTTGTGTTTCTGCCAGTGGTACACATTTGCACATGCCTTGGTGCACAAAACAAAAAATTTATTCCACATAGGGATGGAAAAAATCTGCACATGCATGAAAAAGATCAGAGGGAACATTGGTCACAGACCCTTTCAGATCTAGGCTCCCAGTTCAAATCCCCTTCAGGTGAATAGTGACAGCTGTTACCACCCACTGGCAGTTTGATGGGTATATTGAAACAAGTTTGTCAGGTCTCAGTCAAGGTGAGAACACCACAAAAGTTTAGCAGGGCCCAAGTGAGAAATGGGCCACAGACACTGAACCATTCTGACATTCCACAAATCCGGGCATTTTGCTGGCTGTAAATGTCTGGAGGACGTTTGTCTGCCACCGAACATACTTACAGCCTCATATCTTGAGAAACAAAGTAAACGTGGAGTTGCAAGCACTCTTGCCTGCCAGAGATTATCATTCCACAAGGATTAGACTGAAATGCTGAAAGAGAGACTTATCTCCTGAATGGAGAGAAACCAACCTGTGCGATTCTCATCAAAGAAACTTGTCTCTTGAACAACCAGTGACTTGAAGAGGCAGTTGCGGAGTCGAATATTCAGTCTGGCAAATATGAGTGTAAAAATGCCACCCCGGATACCTGCAGCAAATGAGCTAATTGCAGATAAGAGACGTTAAATAACGATGTTCATAACATCCACTCCTTAGCACATCCAAGACAGACATATCAAAACAGGGGCCCCATGATAATACTTTGTACTGACCATGCCTTTCATTCAAGGATCTCAAAGAGCTGCTCAGACAACAAATTTAGCCTGACAACACCCTCCACCCCCAAGATGAATTGCATTATCCCATCTTTACAGATCGGGAAAAAGTGCAAAACTGGCCTGCCACATCAGCGACATTCTCAGATATGTGCTACTGCTATTAGACAACACTTCTACTGTATATTAACACCCAGCATCCTGTTTTAGACAACACCCATCTGTCAGGCATAGAAACAAGACACTTGAGCAAGAAACTTGTGTTACAAAACCCAGAATCAGGCTGATTTAACCCAGCTCTCATACAAACTAATGTTAAGCAAAAAACAAAACAAAACCACTTTCAGTTGAGGCCTAGCCCCTTTCAGTTTCAGATGGAAACTATGAAAAACTCCATGTAATTTCTACTGGAAAGCAGGGTGCATATGGCCATTTTAGTCTAGAGCTCATTCACCCCTGAACTCCACCTGACCAAGGTTCGTTTTGGTTAACACAGCTTTGTGGCCCTACGGCTATCAAGTTGTATCTGCCAGTTTTGTGCAACTGTCAACAGGGAAGACTCAAGGATGGGCCAAAACTCTGAATCTCCCTGTCCGCAGCAGGACATTTGAAAAATAAAACAATCAAGTTTTTAAGATGTTTCTTTCGCTGCTCCCTCTTAAGTCTGTAAAAACTGTAACAAAGTCGTGGCCATCTAAGGCTTCATAGCTGTCATTCTGCTGCCACACCGTGGGCACTCGGAACGGTGCAGAAGGAGAAGGAATCTTCTCTACCTCTTGGTCCACAAAGACAACCCCTGCTAGCTGAGCCAAAGGAGAATATGGTTAGCAACTTAGCCCATGCAACACATGGCTGAGAAGTTCCTAATCCATCAAGCAGAGGGGCTGTGGCTCATAATTGCTAGCCTGCTCATAACAATACTATGAAAAATTTAAACCCCAACATAATAAACTTCTGATAATTTTTGCATCAGTTATCTCTTGCAGTTACCTTCCTATAGCAAGAAGCGACATAATCACCACTGCAGTGGAGAACTGATCCATGCTTTTTTGGATGACTATTCCATCAATCGCCAGGCCAGTATAATAAGGAAGGAATGTTTCTCCTGTATGGGAGAAGCATAAAAGAAGAGGGAATAGAACAAGGGGCAAGGTTTTAAACACAGAGCTATGGGGTAAAGCAAATGTTAGCAGTGGAGTTGAATTGGTTTCTGGGAACCATAAGATCTTTTGAAGGTGTTTCCAGCCTTGATAATCTAGGTTTGAGACAAAGATTAAGAGGCTGTTTTTTAAACCAAATATTTGGATTTCATCAGGGTGGATAGGTGTGTTTTTTATAGAACTGATATTAAGAGAAAACATGGAATTTGGATCTTGGCACTGTCCCTTTAAGGTCTGTTCACTCACCCAAAGCAGCAATCAGGAGGAAGAAGGTGGCTATTCCAAGGAAGAGCGCATCTGGTTTGGTATAAGACAGCAGCTTATGGATAGTGGCTCCTGACGCCTCTTCCCTCTTTTCCTGCGCAGTCACAGGGCAGTCACATATCTCCTCAGCTTCTGCCCTGGACTCTGAACTGACCCCCAAGGTCTCCCTGGAGGATGTCACGGAAGATAGCAGCTGCCATAGGCAGAAAGTTGCAGCCAGCGACACATACGTCCATGCAAACATGCTCCAAAACCAGGGGTCTTTAATGGTCTTCCTTACCTCCGAGTAGAGCAGCAGTTTGACCAGAGCATAAATCCCCACTAGCAGGCAGACCAAGGTGATGAAGGTCCGGGATGCTTTCAGACATCTGGGGCCATAGGTTGAATTCTTGGCAACCCCAATGGCAATGCCAAGCAGAAAACAGCTCCTATACAGACATGCTCCCCAGAGGTCCAACGTGGAATTAAAGACATTGAAGTGCTTCAGATCCTGGACAATGTCCTGGCCGCTGTGGCTGTGCACATAGAGCAGCGTGGTCACAAGCATGTCCACACCGATGAACGTGAGGGTGCTAGCCACAGCCTTCCAGACTCTCATCTTCATCTGACTCTTGGGTGAGATAGATTGCAGTTTGAGGCAGTGAAACCCCTAGTTCAAGGTAAAAGCTTCCATGTTTGTTCTTCCTGGGAAGGGGAAAAGGAACAACATGAGAGTATGAATTACTTTTATGAAATGGTATAGAGGGGAACAGGGCCCTGTGGAGCATAAGGAGGTAAAAGGGTAACTGGTTACCTGGAGAGCACTGCCTTACCAGCATGCTTACCAGGGTAACTGGTTAACCGGCACCTCTTGGCTGGGACCACCACCCTACACATAAAGGGATGCTCCAGTGGCTGCCTGCTGAGAGCGCGCCACAGTGGGCCAGTTAATGGGTTAAACATTATAAATGGGGTTTTACATCCCTAGCGGAGCATTGTGCTTTTGTTTCATGTGTGAGCTCTGGCCCTCTCTGATTGGGGAGATCTACCAGATCTTCCCTCACCTCCCAAATCAGGTTATCCCAGGGCACTGGCAGCATGAGTGACCACAGCTGTACAATACAGCTTCTTGCGGGCCTGAGTTTGAGCCTGCTTAGGGCCTGGAATTATTTCTAGGCTGCAGGTAGCATCCTGGGATCAGGAGCGGCCCGAGGTGGGCTGTGGCAGCTGGTGCCCCAGGCGGAATGCGCGATTGGCGCCCCCGCCTGCATGGCCGTCAATGGCATGCCATCATCAGCGGGCGCCCCGGGCGCCCTGTTGAAGGCGGTGCCCTAAGCAACGGCCGAATTGGCCTATACTGGCCCTGGCTGGGATGTTTTCAGCTACTCTCTGCAGTTCTGGATCAGCTCAATTCTCAACACCATGAAGTTAACAACAGGCTTTAGAAGATTCCCCAGAACATGATTTCAAGCCCATTGTTCTGCAATGCCTCTGCAATGCCTCTCCATTTCTCCCCAGGAACACTGTGGGGTAAAGGGAAACCATCAAGTTGGCATGCACCATTCCAAATCCGCCCGCCCTGTCAAAACTAAATTTATTCATGTTTCTTGGACAGATCAGGTCCCTGAAGCCAGAGCTGCTGCATTCTAAGACCCAGGGGACAATCAGCTCTCTGAACACAAGGTGGGTGAGCAAGAGGGAGTGTTGACCCACACCTCTGCTACGAGCCCCCACTGCAAACCAGCAAAAAAGAGGTCCAAGCTCTTTGCACACACACAAAAAGAGCTTTTTCCTATGATTCAGAAGGGGTTTGCCGCAAGAGGCAGAAGCAGATGGTGGTGATTAGGAATCAGACAGATGGACAGATCTCAGTTTCTAGACACTGAAAAAGTCACTCCACCCAACACTGAGGGTTACCAGATGGTTTCAACAAAAATATCCAACAGACTTGACAATACATCACAGCCTACATTACATCATATTTAGAAAATACCAGACATTTATATTTTCCCAATTTGTTTCCCGAACAGAAAGCTCAAATACTGGTCTGTCCAGTTCAAAACCAAACAGCTGGCAACCCACCAACACCCATGGCTGGTTATTGTCCAGGGCAGTATGGAAGTGTAAGGTGTATCAACGTGATAATGCAGTAGCGAGCAAACAAAAGGAAAGATAGAAAAACTGCTTGAGGGTGCCAGCAGCCCACAGATTATGTAAGCAATGACAGGGCACTTATCTGGCCCTTTTTATTTCACTCCTGCTTTCCAAAGGAATGCAGAGAACATTATTCCCATTTTACAGATGGGCACTCGGGCCAAAAATATTTTCTTCCCTTGGTTACTAATAGTACACTAGCTTCAAATCAGGCAGCACCTAAAAAGTCTATTCTACTTTCATTACTGATGCTGTATTAGTCTGTAACTTTAAAAAAAGAAGCAGCTTAAATAATGAGTGGTCCTGTAGCACTTTAGAGACTGTCTCTATTTGTGTTAGTTTCTGATGTGCTACAGGACTACTCTTAGTTTAAGATTTTTTTAAAAATTCAGATGCTGTTTATTCTTGGTGCTTCTCAATGAAAATAAATGGGTAAGATCCAGTGTGACCCTGCTCGCTCCTGTCCTTGGTTTCATTCCTTGAGGGTCCTGCATTACCCAAACTTGCGGTAGCAACAGTGGCAGCCAGGTGCCCTGGGCCCCTTGCAATTATCAAGCCCTGGAGCAATTACCCCCTTGTCCACTGTCGAAGGGTCTGCTTTGCTGTGATATCAGACTAGCAAATTTACCCTACAAGCGAACTCAGCTATGAATAGAGTTGCCAGATGGTTTAGCCAAAAATACTGAATACCTTCCCCCCCCCCAAAAAAAACGAAGAAAAAATTCTGTTGAGGAAAAAAAAGGGGGAGACGAAAGTTGTTGAGCATAAAAAAAAAAAAAAAAAAAAAGGACTCCGAGAGTTATTAAGCAAAAAAAGTTTACAAAATTTAAAAAATTAAAAAAACAGCATGGACTCTTTAAAACAGTGGTATCCAACCTTTTTACACCCAAGATCACTTTAAGTCTCAGAACAGGCGAAGATCTACCGCCCTGCCCCTTCCTTGAAGCCCCGCCCTCTCTATTCTCCCAGCCCATACACTCTGTTAAACAGTTTATTTTTAAATTATGCAATATATAAAATTAAAATAACGTTTATAGTTATGAAATAAATGGTCTGTTTTTAATTCATGCTATTTAAATGTCACATGAAGCATTTACAATTATACATTTTGTTCTCTGCTATTTTGTAAATCTAAAATCAAGTATTGATAATTATATATTTTTTCCTCCAATAACAAAGTCTCAGTGTGACACCTGTGACTGAACAGTATCTGTCAGTGTCTTGAGGTCTGGGTTGTAGTCTGAGATTGCTAGTCGTATACAGTCCATCAGATGGGCATCTGTGAGGCGGGTGCGATACTTGGACTTAATTATCTTTAATTAGGAAAATGCTGTCTCACAGAGGTATGTGGAGCCAAAGTAAGCCTTCACTTTGAAAGCACAAGATGACAGAAGTGGATATTTTTCTCTGTTTACCATTCTTCAAAAATCACTGTCCTTTGCTCTGACTTTCAGCTCAATATCATTTTGCATAGTAATAATCTCCATATTAAGTCCATTGCTTTGTAAATGAAACACCTGATGAAATTTGGTAGCCAAGCCGCGAATGTCTTCTCTTTGAAGGAATGGATTTAAGACAAACATGACAATTGGTTCCACCACATCTAATTCCTGAAATCTCCTGTTGAATTCGTCTGCTAATTTCTTCATGCGTGCACAGAAGTTTTCTGGGTGGAACCATTTTTCCTCTCTCATTCATTTTTTCTAGTATTCCCCCCAAACTTGGGAAGTCATGCAGTGTTTTATTCTCTAATTCGGAGGCCCATAGGCCCAGTTTCAATTTGAATGCATTCACAGCACTGAGCATATGTGCTAAGTCTCTGTCCTTTCCCTGAAGTTCACAGTTCAGCTCATTCAGTTTTGATGTCATATCTGTAAGGAACCCAAAGTCTAGCAACCATGCACTATCTGACAGCTCACTGTACACTTCATTCCTTGATTTAAGAAAAGTGTTAATTTCAGGCATCAGCTCTAAAAATCTTTGCAGGACCTTTCCTCGACTTAACCACCTCACATCAGCGTGGAGAATTAGTTCACCACAGGCAGCATCCAGTTTGTTGAGTAAGGATTTAAACAGGCGATGCTGAAGGGATCGAATTGAGTTTACAATCTTAACAACTACTTTCATTATATGAGAGAAGTTCATAACTTTACTTGCTAATACTTGCTGATGGATTATATAGTGATAATTGACAAAAGAAGGGAAATCAGGATCATTCCTGCAACATGCAACAAAGCCTGCATTTGCACCAAGCATGGCTGGTGCACCATCTGTTGTGATGGAAACCAATTTCTTGATTGGAATGTTTTTCCTCAAGCACATACCTTTTGAATGTGTTGTATATATCGTCACCTCTTGTTCTCTCTTTAAGGGGCAAAAGGATGAGAAGATCCTCTTTAATTGTCATATCCTTAAAAACCATACACACAAAAATAATCACCTGGACAGTGTCAGTCATGTCAATAGATTCATCAAACTATCACTGGACAGAATTATATCCCCATCCAGATTTTCAGAGATTATTCAACCTCAGGCCACATCCACAGAGCCTCTGCAATCCTGAGGACGGGGGTCCTGGAGGAAGCTGTAGGAGAGGCCCTTGTGTGTCTACACTGGAGCTACCCTGCCAAAGCGGAGGACCCTAAAGCTAGGCCAGAGGAAGTGGGCCATGTGAAGTGGATCTTCAGGTTTTGGAAGGGTGATGGGAAATACGAAATGATGCTTCAGTGCAGGCCATCCCTTTTGCTGCTGGTTTAAAAAATAATGACTGTCGAGCTTTCAAAATGGCCTTCAGTTCATTAACTTTCTTTATACGTAGGGAAAACTATCCTTGAATTTACTATGTACTGTTGTGTGGTATCGTTCCAAATTGCTCCTTTTACTTAATGATAAACTTTGATGATATATCAAGCATATGCTCTTATCTTTTATATTTGTGAACAGAAATTCATTTTCCCATTCCACGTGGAAGTTGTACATTTTTGCTTTCTTAGGTGGCCTAGGTTTGCCATTCATGTTTATCGCCAGCCAGGGAGGTAGAGCTAAAATAAAAAGCAAGATAGCACTAAACTACCAAATGTGTGATATTTGTGTTTTGGTACAGTGTGGTGATATTATTGTCATGGACAGACCGAACACAGCTTTTACAGCTGTTTGGATTTAGAATTTAAAATTTTAATGATTTATTTGTGCATGCTAGTCAGTGTGGTCTGCTAGATCTGGAACCCAGCAGGGACAGCTTCACCAGGCCCCAGGCCTTTCATAGGACCCCGCCGGACCCAGTTAGAATCATAGCTGCTGTCAGTGATGGATACACTCAAGACAGCACAGGTCAATAGGAGGGCCTCTCCAGGCTTTACTGTCACTGGGCTGGACGGGACCAGCTACACCTGGCCTGGGAAAGGACAGGGAAAGGAAAAGCAGCAGAGGTTCCATTCTCATTACCAGGCACTGAGGAAAACTCCCCAGAAGGCAGGGCTGGGCAGGTCTAAGTCTGCGGAGAGACTGAGGCTCCTAGAATATGGCACAGAGAGGAAGCTGCCTGGCCACTTGGCTGTGGCATTCAGCTGCCCCACTCCACCTGATGGGGTGGCTTCTCCTCTGTCAGCCCATGTGGAACATGGTGCACCTGGGCTGAACACAGTAGCCTCCCCACGAATTGAAATTAAGGGGATTGTTCAAATTTACAAGGGGAGCGGATCAGGGCAGAAGAGGGGTGAGACTGTGAGGGTGAAGGTGGGCTGTATGGCATCATAGCTCACAAAACTGGGGGGTGCTGGAGAAATTCAGGGGGATATACACCCCACATGGAGGTGGGTAGGGAAATCCCTGGCTGATTGCCATGGCCAACCAGCTTCCCCTTTTCACCAGCCCACCTGGAGCTGGTGCACCCTAGCTGAACGCCATAGCCAGTTGACTGGGCAGCCCCTTCGCTTCGCTCTAGCCCAGCTGCCCTGCACTCAGCCCAGGGAGGCTGTGTTCCCGTTCAGGGGGATATACACCCCACATGGAGGTGGGTAGGGAAATCCCTGGCTGATTGCCATGGCCAACCAGCTTCCCCTTTTCACCAGCCCACCTGGAGCTGGTGCACCCTAGCTGAACGCCATAGCCAGTTGACTGGGCAGCCCCTTCGCTTCGCTCTAGCCCAGCTGCCCTGCACTCAGCCCAGGGAGGCTGTGTTCCCGGGCTGAGCGCAGGTCAGCCAGGCGGGAGCGAAGAGAAGCGGGGGGCC